TGCCCAGCTGGTCTCCCTGGGGGGGTGGGCGGTGGAGGCCTGGCACCCTCCCTGGCAGGACACTGCTCTGGGGTGAAGCCGTCTCCCCCCATTTCCTTTCTGCAAGTCACTATTTCCCTCTCCCCTCCTGGCCGAGGCTTCATCCCCCCCCCCCTTTCAAATACAGATAATAGAATTAGGGGAACAGCTTATGTCCAGGAAATTTCTCTGAAATTGCCCCTAATGTGTACCCTGGCCCTGGCCTTGATTGACACAAAGAGCAGTAATTAAAAACCCGGCCAGCTGATGTAGGTGAAGGTTTATTTATAATTATACATTTTTAGGACGGTTTGTCCAGAAGAAGTGCATTTAAAAAGAAGCATGGGCCAGCTCTGTTATCGCCCCAATTATAGCTTTCAATAGTGGGGGTCCGTAATGGGGGTGATTCTCCTTTGCAAAAAAGTAATCATTTGCCCATAAAACCAGGAGGCTGAGCAGGAAAGCGTGATGGCAGAGCCTTTGTTTGGAAAGCCAAGGGGGAGAAAATGTGTGTCTGCGTGTGCATGGGTGTGCCTCTATGCTTGGGTGTGTGCATGGGTGTGCCTCTGGTTATGCATGTGTGTGTATCTCTGGGTGCACATGAGTGTGTACACAGGGCCATATTTGTGTGTACACGTGTGTCTGGTCAGGGTGTTGTGTGTGCAAGTGTGTGCATGCCTGAGGGGATGGGTGACTGTGTGTACCTAGCGTGTATGTGCCAGTGTGTGCACACGGGTGTGTTAAGGGGGACTCGTGGATTGATATTCCACTCCATCCCCCATGTAAATAGAGTCGCCCTGGATTACAAACCATTTCCCTGCTTGCTTTATCTCAAAAGTCAAAAATCTTGGTCATCTTCAACTCCAAGATAATCAGATCCAACTTTCCCAAGTCCCAAGCTGACAAGCGAGATCAGGGTGGCTGCTGTTTGGCCTGTGGGAACCTGGCCCCAGGCTTCCGGAGCACTGTGTGCACCTAGAGTGTCTCTGAAGGGGGCTGGACGCCTGCTCCCCATTCCCTCCTCACACCTGAGCCCGTGACCCCGGCTGTGGCATGCCTGCCTCTCCCAGAGCCTGTCCCTTACCCCGAGGGGCAGAGGCGGCACTATCAGGCTGTGCGTCACCGCCCCTCTGGTTTCTGGGGGACCTGCAGCTGCAGACAATGGCAGGAGTGGCCCGGGAGAGCCCCGCGTGTCACCTGGTGTCTTGGCAGGCAGGAGCCCCAGCGTAAACTGAACCAAGGGGCACTACAGGTGTTCCGGCCTCAGGGTGGGAGCGAGGCTGGGAAGCTGGGACAGGAGACCGGGAGCAAGTGGAAGCTTCCCTCGGGGGAGTCCCACTGGGTGTCAGGCGCGTCTGGGCCAGGCTGCCGCAAGCCGGACTTCCTCAAAGAGGCTGCAAAGACCCCCCGGACCTGTGAGTCTGCAGAGCCTGCAAGGTCAAGACCGAGACCAGACGTGGGTCCTTCCTGCCACCCCCCTCCAGAGCCGCGTGCAGCGCAGCTGAGTCCTTCCGATGAAGAGGCAGAGCCCCACTGAGAGAAATAAAAGTGAGGAATGGCGAATTCGGTACCACTTGCCAGACCAATGAGCTTCATCAATTAATCACAGCCAAATAATCACCACCTACATTAAAGAATAATACATGAAAAGGACAGGGGCCTCGCTGTAACTTATTCAGAAAGGGCTGCCTCCCTAATCCCTCTGAGTCCTGACATGTTAACTGGGTAGCGACTAATTAGATGTCAAAAATTCATAAGCACTCTTTAATATTGCATATATCTGCAGCCGCCGACATTTCAATATGAGAGTTGTATACACAGAAGTCACTATAGCATTAAAACACAGCGGGGTGGGAGAAATAAAAGGGAACCAATAAAAACAATGTCCCTCAAAAACCCCAGAGATGCCGGCTTTGCAAGTGTGTACTTTCTTATTCAGAAAAGGTATCACCTTAATAAGAATTATAGGCGAAGGGGCTTCGCCGCTCGGCGCTGCGTGGACAGAAAGAGCGAGAGGAGACGAGCTTATCAAAGGCGCTGCCAGGTAAATAGTAATTTATTGTGCATGCACAATGAACATTACCCGGTGTCCTGACACCGGGTGATAATGAAAGACATGTTTTTGTGGCTTCCACCGAGGGGCTTCCCGCCCCCCCGCCTCCCCTCTCGCTGTCTCTCTGGAGCCGAGGAGCCCTGATGGGCGCTGGCAGCTCCGCCTGTTTCAAGCCATTTCCCATAATATAGGAAGCATCTGAAGTTTAGTGGATTAAGTAAGTGAGTTAGTTTGCCGGCTCGGTGATATATATGTTGCCTGTATGTGAACTTATATTTCAAATGCCGGGGACTATATTTTTATGAAACAAGCCTTTTCCTGTCGGAAGAATTATAGGAATGTGATATAATACAAGGCAGTGAGATTAAAAACGATGCATCATAGCAGGGAGAAAATGCACTGTTTTATGGCTTGCATCCGTTAATTGAACCTCTCAGGAATAAAGAGAAGGGCTCTGCAGGAACCTGCTGGAAAATCATTCTCTTTTTTGACTTCCAGGGGGTGTTTTTGGTTTGTTTTATTTTTTAGCAGACAGATAAATGCACAGTCTGTACCTGCACAGAGGCACACAGACACGCAGGCACACACATGTGCACCCCTGGCAGAGCCACGGGCCATGTGTGGTGTCTTCTGCACAGAACTGTTCTTTGGAAAAACTCACGTGTTCCTGGAATTCTGCTCGCATGTGACGTCAGAGGGGGTGGAAAAGTTGTGTGGAAAGCACAGAAGGAGTCAGAGGTGCACAGATAGTCTGCACCAGGCCTGTTACCACTCAGGGTTACTACTCCATTTTCTCTGAGACTCCTTGGTGGCTCAGGGGTTAAAGCCTCAGTGCTATCAAGTAATCACCAGTCACTGCAGCATGAGTTCGATCCCCGGCCAGGGAGCTGACCCACGTGGCGCAGCAGACCTCTCCTGTCTTGCTGCTGCTCCCCTCAGCAGTGTATTTCATTAGATCTGCCTGTTATGTTCCCCACTCTGTCTCTGGTGAATCCTCTCATGCCGCCCCCAATTTTTCACCTATACCCAGTTCTTATATGCATAAATAAATAAAAATAAATATTGAAAGTAAATAAATAAAATGGACAAGGCCGAGCCCTTCTGGCTGGCTGGTTGGTAGGGGGCTGACAGCAAGAGCGCCCAGACACTGGCCACCACCATGAGCTCTGTAGAGGCCCTGCTACCCTCCACCCTGTGCAGAGCCCACAGGCCAGGCTGCTCCCCCACCCTGATTTCTGTCTGGATGCGGACCTGTGTTTCAGCAGTCCCTGATCAGTTTCTCCATGTGGAGGCGTTCCCTCCACAGGCAGCCCTGAGCGCGGCTCGGTCAGGTCTCTGCCTACCGCCCCCTGTGCAGCCACACACTCACACCTGTCTCTGGAATGTCAGCCCCAGGGTGCAGGGTCTCCTGAGAAAGCGGGTGAGCCATTTGGCAGGATGCCACCGGCCACCGGCCCTCTTTTTCTGGTTATCCAGGGTCTTCAGTTTGGAATTCGCTTCAGCATTTGAGACTGAACAAGCCCTTCAGGCTCAGTATTGAAATCATAATGAACTCCGCTCATTGGCTATGTCTGCAGTCCCGATTCTTTCTCATGGGGTTCAATCAGTTCCTTCCCCACATGCAGCATTGCTTATTTTCCAAACAGGAGCCTCCATCAATTTGGTCTGGGGAAATAACATCTCGCCTGGGTCCTGGTTCCCCTGGGGTGTAGGAAATGGGCATTTCTTTCAGTTGGTGCCCGTGGAAGGCCAGGCCACCTCACTCACCCACGGCTTCCTCCCGGAACAAAACCGCTCCTCCCTTTTGGCAACACTGTTGGGGGCGGCACAAAAATAACCAAGGTTTTCTGCTACCCCAAATGTACAGTCCAATAGCTGGGGGGAAGCGTGTGTGGGTGAGTCAGGTGTGATGTGTGGGCAGAGAAGCGCCAACACAATGGGGCTCCCAAGGGGGTGGTCCGGGCACAGAATGGGGGGTTGGAGATGGCACAGGCAGGGCGTGGTGCAGAGAAGGTGAGAGTAGCCAATTTGGCAGTTCTCACTCTCTTCCCTCCGCTTGACCTTGCTCTGGAAATAGCACTGGCGTTGTTTGGGGGAACCACCCCACATTCTCAGCCCTAAGATTTCGGAGTCATTGACCCTACCCCCAGCCTCAGGGAAGGGCTCGCATTGGTCGCCGAGTATTAGCAATGCTGTCCCCCAGGTTCTCTGTTGCCCCAGCCCCTCCAATCCTGAGCCTCTGAGGACCCCGGCCATGGTCAGCCCCTTGGCTGTGGGAAGTGCCCCAGCCCCCAAATCCAGAATGTGCTCGTCCACCTGCCCCTCTCCTGTCTCCTTCCCTCTCTTTCAGCTTTCTCAATAAGTCACTTGCTCAAGCAAGTCCGTTTTGGGTTCTGCTTCTTGGCATCAGGCTCTAGATTGTGAGCGAGGCAATGCTGGAGCCTAAGCCGCTGTCCTGGGCTTGCCTGGCTGCTGGGACCTGCATCGACCCCTGATGCGCCTGGATGTGGTGGGGGCGGTGGGCACCGCCAGGCCCTGCTGCACCTGCAGAGGCTGCGCTGAGCCTGCCCAGGCCTCATTCCTCAAGCACTGTGGCCTTGGACTTAAAGAGAGCAGGTGCCCTTCCGGCAGAGTCGGGCGACGAGAGGGACCAAATGGGTTGGTTGACCCAAGGCAGTGAAGTTTGGCTCACCGGGTCAGCTCACTGAAGAGAGAGCTGAATTTCAGGTCTGAGAGGGACATGGCATCGCACGTGGTGGTGAGGGCTTTGTCCTTGAGGCCACAGAGCAAAGGAGCCATAGACCTTCAGCTGATCCCGGGCAGAAGGGTCAAGAAGTAACAGTAAGCCCGTGGTAGTCACAGCTTATTAAAAGTTATAAAGTGCAAGACATTCTAGAGAAAAAAAAGTGATTTCAGTGACACCCTCAAATATGTCTATTTTGTAACTGTTGACCACATTTCCCAGGCGTGAGAACTGAGTTTGGGGGTGTTCTCTCTGTGCGCAGGGGGGAGCGTTAAAGCTGGTCATCTCTCAGTCTCCAGTACGATTTTGTCACTCCCGGGCACTGATCAGCATTCGGTCCCAGGGAGAGCGGCCCGGTTGCCGGCCCGGCTGCCAGTGTGGGGAGGACAAGCCGAGGGCCGTGGCCGCCGAGGGCCGCCGGTTCGGGGTCTCCACATTCTGCAGGTTCAGGGGCACCGGCTTGGCTTTTCCTCCCTGGCTCCATTGGTTTTCCACTTCACTCGTATATAGCTCATGCTCTGAAATGACAGGGAAGAGGAAATAATCAATTCTAGAGCAGCGACTCCCAAATGGATGGTTACAGATTTCAGCAGAGTTTGGACACCGATTGATAAACTTTGCGTGAGAAACCTGGCTTGTGAAAGCGGGGAGCAGAGGAGGGGCCAGCCATCTAGTCTCGGGACACACAGGGGCAGTTGTGAAAACACAGGCAGCTTTGCCGCCACAAGTGTGTGTTCGGTCAGAGCAGGGACGCGGCAGAGGCGGCAGAGGCCGAGAAGCAGGGGATGCCCAGCGCCAGGCAGGGAGCGGGCGCTTTGTCAGTAAGTCAGCCCGGGTTTGCAGGGAACGGAATGTCAGGCCTCCCTCGCAAATAACTGCCTTCTCGCTTTAACATTGCAAGATATGTGATGGGCCTGGGGACTAAAAAAATCCTACTCACCAGGTATCCCCAATGACTTCAGGGCATCTCCATTGAGGGGGTGATGCTGCTGCTGATGCCCACCACGAGGAAGGAAGCGGCAGCACTGGCCGTACAAAGGCCCTGCCTCGAAGCTCCCAGTCACCGAGGGCCTGTTCCACCGGCTACATCGAACAGGAATGTAGAGGCCTACCTGGTGGTGCAGGGGTTCAGTGTCAGCACTATGGAGCTATCCGCAGGCACTGCAGCATGAGTTCAATCCCCAGCCAGGTTGCTGACCCACATGGCACAGCAGACCTCTCCTGTCTCCCCACTGCTCCCCTCAGCAGTGGATTTCAGTCTGCCTGTTCTGTTCCCCACTCTGTCTCTGGTGAGTCCTCTCCACCCCCCGACCTCTGGCCTGTACCCCAGCTCTTATATGCATAAATAAATAAATCTTAAAAAAAAAAAAACCTCAGGAATGTCTGCAGACCCCAGAGCAGCCAGAAGCTTCCTTTGCCTTGGAAGAAAAATAGAGGGAAAAACATTCTGATGCCTCAATTCTGTGCATAGTAAGATGGTTGGCATTTTCAAATACGGTTCCTTATTTAATCCTAATAACAAGCTTCAGGTTAGTCTTTCAGAAGAAAAAGAGGCTCAGAGGAGGTAACAGGCTTGGCCAGGGCTGCACAGCAAATCAAGGGCAGTGCCTGGACTCGTGGTCACTCTGTGTCTGCAGGGAAAGGAAAATTTTATGGCCAGGAGCCATCTGCAAAAATGGGGGTGGCCATAGTCCCCCACCCCACTCCACTGAGCTCTGCTCCCCACTGCTCTCGTCTCCCCATTCCTGCTGCCCCCCACCCCAGGGTCTCAGACTGTGGGCACTTTGGTGATGGGAATACTATTGTGACTGCACCTGAGGGGAGACATCGTGTACTGTGAAAAAATAAACATGGATGTTTTAAAAAATAATAAATAAAATGATTCATTAAAATTAAAAAAAAATCATGAGTTTTAGAGGTTAAAAAAATGGGAGTGGCACAGACTCCTGTGTTCTCAGATGCCCCAGTGTGCCTCACTCTCTCTCCCTCCCTTCCCTGCTTTTCTAACAAAGCGTCACTTTCCTCCCAAGTCAATCAAAGTAATAATTCTTTTTTTTTAATATTTATTTATTTATACAAGCACTGGGTACAGCCAGAAGTGCAGGAGGGTGAGAGAATTCACCAGAGCCAGAGCGGGGAGCAGAACAGGCAGAAGGACCAAAGTACACTGCTGAGGGGAGCAGCGGGCGGCAGGAGAGGTCTGCTCGCCATGTGGGACCCTCCTCTGGTGGCCGGGGAGCAGCCGGGGATGGAACCGGCGCTGCAGAGGCTGCGGGCAGCTTTGCAACCCAGCGCTCAACCGCTGCGCCACCGGGGAGGCCCAATCAAAGTAATAATTCTAAAGTGAACTCCTGGACAGAGCTGCAGCCAGCAGCTGGAAACTCTCTCCCCGGTCCATTGGCCTCACTAGTAACCCAGCGATTCTTTATAACCAATACACCCTGTACTGCTTAATGTATTTAAAGCAAATAAGTGTGAGGAGAAACCTGAAACAACCACCCTAAACTGGTTTTATTTATAACAGATCCAAATTAGGAAGAGCATCTATATCCAACATGAAAATATCAGGAAAAAAAATAAAAAGGAGAATCACACCTTCCATTTTAACCCATTTGTAGCTTATTATAAAACAGGGGAATTAATCTCACTGAGATCTATAAAAATAAAACCTTTGTTTAGTTATGCAACAGAAATCAAAGGTGTCACGACCTTTGAAAAAGTAGATGCAATATTGATTTCACCGCAGAATTGCTATCATTGTTAGGAGAATCTTCCTCCAAAATGCAAGTATATAAACTGAAGAACTTGCAGAATTAATCACAGTTGAGTGATGTGACTGCTTTGAAGGAAATACTCTAAAAATCATTAGCTCGCCTATCAGTAGCAATCATTTAGACAGTATCATGGAAAATTAATTCATTCTCTCTAGAAGTTAAAAAAAGAAATAGTCTGTCCCTAAACTGCAGGTGTGATGCCTGCAGGGGCTGCTGTGGAAACTGACTGCTCAGAGGTGTGAACGGCACAGGTGAGACCCTTGGCCCTGACCCACCTGTTGAGTGGCCTCTCCTGGCCTTTCCTGGGACCAAAGGGCTTTTCCCTCTAATTTTTCCATAGTTGAGAGCGTATTCATGTCTCAGATTAAATATCTCACTGGGTACTTATCACCGACTTCCTTACCTAGTTGCCCACCACGTCCTGGGCATATATTTTTTAATTGCTTCACTCTGGTGCTCCACAGGCCCGAGCGCTACTCACCACCACCCTGTGCATGTGTTTACTTATCTATTGTCCATCTCCTCCTGTAAAGCAGAGCTCCAGGAGCACGAGTCTTTTTGTTTATTTCCATGTTGGTGCAGAGCAGACAGTCAACACACACTTATTTCATTCAATGAGAAAGACATGGTCTCCATGGAAAGACTACATTTTTCCAGGGAGAAATGCTCCTCGATAGAATGCACAGGTTTCACTAGCTCAAAATCCAACATTCAAAGGAGACAGCCTCCGGACTGGGCCTGGAAGCTTGATAAATGGTGCTAGAGTTCATTTGTGAGAATAAATAACAAATAGAATGCAGGCAAGTATTTTGGAAGGAAGATGAAAAGGGAAGGCACCAAGACTGATGATCAAGAAAAATACTTTCTAATCCTGTAGCAGCCAGAGTCAGGCAGCGCAGACTCAGGGAAAAGAGGAACAGGACAAGAGGAGGCTATAGAATATGGCACAAAAGTGAAAGATGATAATATGTGATAAAGGCGGCATAAGCACGCCGGCTTGGTTGGGCAGGTTTCTTTCTGGTTCCATGAGTCACAGCCCCTGATGTCCACACCCCCCGCAACCCCCTCCCATTGAGAGGACTCACCGGTGAATGTGAATTTCACACGTCTCCCCAGTTCGTTAACTTCTATGACGAAGGGGAAGGACTTTCACAAATGCAATTAGGGACCCTAACCAGTGGACTCTGAGTTAATAAAAGAGATTACTCTGGACGGCTCTGACTTCATCAGGTGAGACCTTGAAAGAGGCCAGGTGTGAAGGGCCATGTGACTTGGCCCTGAGGACAGCCTCCTGGAGCTGAGCGTGGCCCCCGCTGGCCCGAACAGTGAGTAAGGAATCAGGTTCCCCCTGTCACAAAGGCAAGGCCATGAATTCTGCCAACAACTTGAGGAAGCAGGTTGCAAACCTTACCCTAGTCAAGCCACCACCCGAGGACACAGTATTGCCATCAAGTCGGCAGCCAGGTGAGACTCCAAGCAGGGCACCAAGCCCTGCTGTGCTGGGGCTTTGTCTGGCAGGTCTGTGAACTCACAGCTGGGCACTGTCCGAAGTCACTGTGTTTGTGGTGTTTGTAACACAGACAGAAACAAATGTAGTGGGGAGGGAGAGGGAAATTTTGAACACTCTTAGGACAGCTTATTTGCTACTTGGGAAACATTCAAAGAGATTTTCATATAATACTCTAGCAAAATAGATCCCAGCAAGATTAAGTCATTAGATAAAATTAGTAATTCCAGGTAATGTCTAGGTGAGTATGTGTGTGATCTCAGGACACAGACGTAATCCTAGAGCGCTGAAATGACAGGAAGACTCTCACACTATTCAATTGGTTGGCATATACAGAGATTAAAATTTCTACAGGTAAAGTAGCAACACACAAATTCAGAAAATATTTGCCTCAGAGATAACCAGCAAAGTTTAGAGGTATCGATGTGAGTGTCCATGCAAATGTGGAAAGAAAATACTGACAGAGAAGCATCACACCTCTGCGGGGGGGTGGTGTTACTGTAGACTATATTCTACTCAGCATACAGAGCGCATCTGTATCAGTGTTATTAACACAGGAAAATAATAGTTAAATATACAATAATGTCTCAGCACATAATTACAAAGAAATATTTTGCATTTTAGCAGGGTTAATAATATTATGTATTTTGATAGATAGTTAAGTGATAACGATCAGATGAACTACTGGGTATTCTCACCTGTGGACACTATGATTGAGTGAGTGGAAATGCTACGAGCACACAGTTAGGCTTGGGAGGGAAAGGATTAGGATACTTTGTGTTGACATTAAAACAGATGTTGTCTTAGGATAGTGGATATAGGGGTGACTGGCTAAGCCTATTGCCTTTACACTATTTTATGCTGAATTCATTGTTTGTCTATGTCTGCTGTATATGAGTATACAGATGATAAATGATGGTTGATTAATAGATGAGATGAATCAAAACTAAATAATAGATAGCTGATAGATGATTGATAGACTGATGGGTGATTGATCAAGAAAGAGAGAGTTAGATGTTGCTTAAACAAAAGATATTTACTTCCTCACAATTCTGGGTGCTAAAAGTCCAAGATCAACACATTGGCTGTGGTCTGTCTCCGTGTCTTCACATCGTCTTCACCTGTGTGTGTCTGTGCCCTAACACTCTCTTCTTATGAGGATAAGTCCCTCCCCTACTTGTCCCTTATGAGGACACGTTTCCTTCCCCTACTGTGACTTCATTTAACTCAGTTTCCCCTTCAGAGATCCTATATCCAAATATGGTCACATTCTGAGGTCCTCAGGGATAGAATTTTATGGACAAACTCATGTCCCAGCATCATGCAGGAATATCTCCTTCTGTATGAGAGAACAGACTCAGTGTAAGGTTGCCTCTTCTAAAGGTGTGACCTTAGCAGAACCACTATAACGTGATGCCTTTATCATAGGTTCCCTCAGTTTAGATCTTTCAACCTTGACTTAGCAAAGGGTAAGAGACCCTGGATGGGCCTCCCCCATGGTGCAATGGGTTGAGCACAATGCTGTGGAGCTGTCCGCAGCCTCTGCAGCATGGGTTTGATTCCCTGCCAGCCAGGGAGATACCCACATGGCACGGCAGACCTCTCCTGTCTGGCCCGCTGCTCCCTTCAGCAGTGTCTTTGGTCCCTCTTCCTGTTCTTCTCCCTGCTCTCTCTCTCTGGTGAATCCTCTCACCCTACCGCACCTCTGGCCTGTACCCCAGCTCTTGTATACATAAGTAAATCTTTAAAAAATACAAAATGTATTTAAAAAAAAAAAAAGAGTCCCTGGGCCTCACGTGTGAGGAGGGTTAGAGGAGATGGGGCCTAGAGCACGGGGTGTGTTAAGGAATACATCTCCCCAATTCTATTGCTTAATTAATGTGTCTTAGGTTTTTCTATTGAATTTCTTTAAAAGCAGGGGAGAGAACTTGAAGCAGATACCCACCTCCAGAAAAAAAAAAAAAAAAAAACTCAGCAATATTGATATATTTACTGCAAAGTAACAAAAACTGTTGGACCCTTTCTATGGCAGATCCATATTCAGTAAAATAAAAGAATTTGTGCTCCTCGTATAAAATAACTGGAAACACACAGCATATACCATAGATGCAGCTTAAGACACAAGTCCTCAAAGAAATCAGGCCCCACACCTCCCTTCAGGTCTAGAGTTTCTTGCAACATGTCTTCAGAAGGGGGGCAAGAGAGAACATCTAACATAGACTGCTGTTGGAAAATTACTGGGGAAAAACAAAAAACAGAAAAATATAAAAATGGGCAGGCAACATTGCCAGAAGGACAAATAACAGATGGACAAACAGAATTACAAAGCAACGCCAAGGACGAGAAAAGGCAATAGCTGAGTTGGACAACATTGCGAGGAAAGATTGCAAAATAGTCAGATCCAGCCAGTGTGTGCTCCTTCATAGGGCCTACCTGTTGAGAAGCAACACGGGCCACACTGCAACTTTCTTCTGGAAATGGATGTCCCTGTTTGTCACATGTGTTGTCTACTAGTGGAGCTTGGAGGCACGGGATCCTGCATCAGGTATTAGAAAGAGGGGCCGATCTTGAAGATTCACCTTACACGCAAGTTTCCATGAGAAACCTGAGCATCGGTTTCATCCAAGTGTTGGTCACAACCCTCACCGCTCATTCTTAACATCCATGGACCACTGAGATCCACCCCAAAGGTGAGCCAGATCTTGTGCCCACCATGTGCTGTTCCCACCAAGCACGCCAAGCTAAACACTGCACCAGAAGTCTTTTGTTGCTCGGCAATGTGGCTCATCGATATTTGTTCATGTAAATAAAGGATTTGTTTCCCTTTTAATGATCACTTCTATTCTACTAGCTGTACTTCAAAGCCTCCAGAAAGGGTATGTCCATCGCACTGGGGAGGGATGAGCCAATCAGATTATCTCTTTCCTTGTTCTTGAAGCAAAAGCAGCTCAGAGGGCAGCTGATGACTCGGTCAGATTTAGGGAGAGTGTCTGACTGGTGAATGCATGCATGAAGTGTGCCTGGGGGAGAATGCTACTGCATAAGGGGTGGTCACTGGCTCCATGCAGAATAGAGGTTAAATAATGATTTTGTATAAGAAAAATCGAAAGAAATTAATGCCATATGGTTGAATAGACCAGAGGATGGCAAAGCATGCCCAGTAGCAAAACCTTGGGCCCTCATTTAAGAACTTTATTTATATTTTTCATTATTTAAAGTAAAAACAGAGAAAAGACAGGTGAGATAGGTAGATGATAGATAGAAATGCAGATAGAAATAGATATAAGGTGGACAGATGATTGATAGATGATAGATAGATAGATAGATAGATAGATAGATAGATAGATAGATAGATAGTTGATAGATAGATGGAGATATAGAGAGGTTGAGATTATGGGGCAGTCGATGAAGGCAAAGCCTAATGTATGCACTATCTAGGTTCTAGAGACAGTGGATGAATTGACTGATACTCTAAAGTACTGATTGCGAATCACTTATAAGACTTGTATTGTCCATCCTAATTGTCATGGCTTCCTGGTCACTGTGTGAAAGGTGGTTAAAAGCACACTCACTTTTAGAAATGGTGGTTACCCAAGGGGAAAGGAGATGGAATGAAGGAATGGGTAGAAGAGTCAATTGATAGGATGAACGACACCAGGACTTTGGTGATGGGTGTTGTGAGGTGTATGTTATAGGACAAAGGTCAGTCAATAAAATTTTACTTAAAAGGCACACTATAATCATGGGTGATATTTAACAAATTTTTATGGGCTTATGACAAATAAGAGCATGACTTGTGTTAGCCAACTCAGTTCACTTCACAACAACGCTTTCCCACAAGTCCTCTGTTTTCTTCTGTCAAATGGAGACAATTGAACAACAGAGAGGTTAAGTAACTTGTCCAAAGACACACAGCTAGGAAGTGAAGGCAGCCAGGATGTGCATGGGGGAGTCTGTATCTAGAGGAACATAAATCGAGATGAGTCGGGATACATTAACAAGCACACCACATTAAAAGACCTTTGATACAGAAATTCATTTCTGCTCATTCTGTGTGTTTACAGAAGGTTCCAGATGCCCTGTTTCTGGGACTCAGAAAGGTCATGAAGCCTCTATATATCACCGGCCTTGTGGCAGAAGGAAAAGAGACACATCCTATGCTGACTTGTGAAACACGGTGGAGGATAGTGCGCGCACTGTTGCGGGCAGGCTGTGAAAGAGACATGTGCAGAGTTTCAACCTGAGACCCCCAGAGAAGATACAAAGATGTAAACCTCCTCAGCCTCAATAAATATCATTTGGAATGAATAAGACTTCCACCTAGCATGCCATTAGCCCCTTCCTTCCTGCTCACTGGTCAGAACAGGCTAAATGGCCTAACTGGAGTCATGGGCCAGAGGCCTGCTTCACCCTCATCTCTCTTCCTGCAATTTTTCAGTGATGAGAGGATGTAAATCAGCAGCAGCATCTTCCTGCCCCCCACCTCTCAGCCCTGCTCCTTCCAGCTCTTCCCACTGTTTCCATCCATATTGGTCAGGAAAATCTGGAGCACCTGAACCACGGGCTCTCGAGCCAGAAGGACGAATGACTGTGCAGATATATGGAAGGAGAGAACTTTATTTTGAGGAATTGGCTCATGTGATTGGGGAGGCTGACAGACCTGAGCGATGTATGACCAGCCAGCAGACAAGCATTTGAATAAGAGCTGATGCTGCAATTTTCAGGTTAAAGACTAGAAACTTGGGCAGAATTTTGACGCCACAGTCTGGAAGCAGAATTCCCTGTTAGGGAAGCCTTGGTCTTTGTTCTTCAACCTTGGTCAATTCCCTCAATGGGCTGGATGAGCTCCACTGACATGATGAAGAGTATTCTGCTTTCTTTAAAATCAGTGAATTACAAATGGCAATCACATCTAGAAAACTGGCTTTAATGCTGCATCTACTGCTAGTGTTCCATCAAGCAGCTGGGCACTGGCGGGTCCAT